TCTTACAATCCTCAATATCACTCTTTATCAGTGAGCACTATCAATACTACATTTAAAATATTAAGTGATAAATATTAACACATCACCTCTTTCTTTCAGACTCGGCAGCTGTGTTCTTACAGAGGAGTCCTGTGAAATTGTGGCCTCAGCTCTCCAGTCATCAAACTCACTCCTGAGAGAGCTGGACCTCAGCTACAATAACCTGGGAGATTCAGGAGTGAAGCTGCTCTGTGCTGCACTGAAGAGTCCAAACTGTAAACTACAGACACTGGACCTCAGTGACAATAACCTGAGAGATTCAGGACTGAAACTGCTCTGTTCTGCAGTGAAGAGTCCAAACTTTAAACTACAGACACTGGGGTGAGTAGTGCTGTGTACTTTGTGACCTTTAGTAAATAGAGTTAGTGATTATGGCTCCACACAGAGAAATGTTCAACAGCTCATTTTCTCAGTTTACTCCTCTCTCCCCAGCCTTCCTTCCTTTGTCCCATCCCTCTCTTCTTACTCCTCTATCACAGCAAAGTAAAGCAGGATAAAACCTCATGAATCTTAGGGTTGCAGCTGTGTGGTTCCTGACCAGAATTATCTTGTGTTGAAGTTCAGTGTGAAAGTGGGATTATGTGTGTGTATTATGCAGAATGTTTTTACATATCCCATTAGCATAGGCAATAAAATCAATGGCAGTTCTGTTCTGAAGAATTGTGTTTTTTCCCCTCTAAATTATAAAATGTATTGATGATGGCATCACTATTGTCTCAGATTGTTCAACAGCATCAGTAAGGCATCAATAAGATCTTAATGATACCCATCCCTAGTGAGAGGTAACTGTAGTGAAACACAGTTTGTGTTCCCTGTGTGGAGGGGATAAATCATACGGTTGTCAGAAGATTCATGCTGAGATCTTCTGGTCCCCCCTTTGGAAGGGTGCAGGATTAAAGACCTGAATAGACTGAAAGGTTTTGGTTAGAGGAAGTAGAAGAATGATGCTCAGAGCAGAAGAGTCACAAGTAGACCCCCCTTTCCCCTTTTCACTGTGTGAAGAATGAGATATCAGCACATAGTCTGATGTGGTTTCCACTGGAACACTGCTCATTGAATTGGAGTGGGACCTGAGGTCGGCAAGACCAGATATTGGACCCAGATCAGAATGCAAAGTGTTTCTGTGCACCTGGTTATATGTGGCTCCTTGCAGAATTGAGGTGAGTGGGGATGAGACGTTAACCACTGAAAGAAAAGAAGGGGTGTCATGTGACTGCAGTACTGCAGAGCGTTCACTTTTAAGATGGAAAAATTCCTCTCTGTAGGAGCAGAGATCTGATCTGGCAGAATGCAAATCATCTAGATACTGCAGAGCTTTTTTGCTTAAGGTTTGTAGATCTTGGAGGATGTTTGTTTTGAACTTTCAGGTTTACAATCTCACTCCCTAGTTACACATTTGCAAAAGAGGGCAAGGCTGGCTTGCCTTGAGAGAGCCAAGACAGAGTATGACTACGTATTATTCAGTTCAAATTAGGTTAAGGGCAATTTAATAATGCCATTAAATTTCAGAAGTACTGAAGATGTTGGTATGCCAGTAGAATGAACAAACGGACAATTATTTTCATGATTCAGAGACAATAATGATTGTTCATAATCAATTAAAGCTGTCTCTTGTAGTGATTTGAATTATTAAGGGTGATTGATAATACCAATAATGAATAACAATGCTTTTCTTCAAGTTTGTGTGGAATTGTCAATGTGTTACCAAGGGGAATTCACAACCACAGTGTGAGCTTTGCTTGCTGTGACTTGGTTAAACTGCAGGAGACAGTGGTGTTTAAGAACATGTGCCCCATCTAGTGGTGAATATTGGAAGTCCAGTGAGTTAGAAGCTGCTTGGATTTTCTTCTGCCTGTATTCCAAAATTGAGTACCATTTTTCTTTCTCACAAAAACATGAGAGCCAAATGATATTATTACAAAATAAAATCTGAGTGTGTGTATATGACTTAGAATACACATTGTGTGTGTGTGTGTGTGTTCTCTCCACAGGCTGGGTTTGTGTTTATGTATAGTGTTTGTGTGTTCTCTCCACAGGCTGGTTTAGTTTATATTTATACCCCCTCACCTTCCTGTGAATACTCCTGTTAACCTTTAGCTGTGTGATAATTTCTGCTTTTTTACTCTCATTGGAAGGAAATCCAAACTTCTCACAACTTACAAGCTACCTCACTATTCACTCTAAAGGCTGGAATATGCTTTAATACTGAAATACAGTATAAAAGGATCTGATAACTCCATCCTTAGCCCTGCTGTCCACACTTGGCTCTGGGGCATGAGTAGGGCCATGAGTGAGGCTTAAAGCCCAGAGTTAGCCTGACAAAGACAGTGGAAACGGTAGCTGGGCCATTAGCCCCAAATTCTGACAGAACTGAATAGAGGAAAAGGGGCTATTTGGGTCAGAACCACAGCTGTAGAACTGTCAGACTTGAGCAGGACATCTTACTCTCAGGTGTAAAGTGCTGCAGTTGGAGAGTGTAGCACAGACATCTTCCTCAGAGCATTGTAGATCTTACAATATATCACCCTTTATCAGTGAGCAATATCAATACTACATTTAAAATATTAAGTGATAAACACATCACCTCTTTCTTTCAGACTCAGCAGCTGTGATCTTACAGAGGAGTCCTGTGAAATTGTGGCCTCAGCTCTCCAGTCATCAAACTCACCACTGAGAGAGCTGGACCTCAGCTACAATAACCTGGGAGATTCAGGAGTGAAGCTGCTCTGTGCTGAACTGAAGAGTCCGAACTGTAAACTACAGACACTGGGGTGAGTAGTGCTGTTTACTTTGTGACCTTTAGTAAATAGAGTGTATGGCTCCATACAGAGAAACCTTAAACACCTCCTTCTCTCCTTTTACTTCTCTCTCCCAGCCTTCCTTTGTCCACATTGGTCACATCCCTCTCTTCTTACTCCTCTATCACAGCAAAGTAAAGCAGGATAAAACTCCATGAGTCTTAGGGTTGCCAGCTGTGTGGTTCCTGACCAGAATTATCGTGTCCCAAATGCTCTTGGCTTCCCTTTTAATCTCATGCATTGATTGTTTATCTGTTGAGGACAAAACAACATGAGTACGAAAACAGGGGTGGAAGTTGTGTAAGAAGAGAGATTTGAAAGTTTGACTCTCTTTTATACCTGACTTGTCTCTTCCTAGTATTTAGACATACTGTAGCAACATATATATTTTTTTGCAATTGACTATGATGCAGTTCTAATGCATCATGACCATTCCAAGCTGTGATTCCAAGTCCTTTTGTTAAGTTTTTAGTGTTTCCAGTCTTGCCTGCATTTGTTTTGTGGTTGCAATCTTTTGAGATGTTGTGTATTTTTGTAAAATGAATTCAGACTTTCTGCTGTTTCTATGGCATAGTGAATGCGTTTCAGGGTGAACAAACGAGCTGAAGGCTGATCTGAGCCAGTCAGATTTCACCTTACATTTTTACAAAGCTAATTGTGATTGGCATGCAGATTGTTAAAATGGATATTATTTCTTGGATAAAAATTACAGTATGGAAAGTTGGCGTGGAATTTTTTGACATATCTCGTTTGTATAAACAATAAAATCAATGGCAGTTCTGTTCTGAAGAGTTGTGTCCTCTAAATTATTAAAAGTATTGACGATGGTGTCAATATTGTCTCAAATTGTTCAACAGTATCAGTAAGGTATCAATAAGGAAGGGTGCGCAGGGAAACTGGCTTCATTCTCCTGCTGGGAGGAAAAATTGGAGATTAAATACGCTCTCTGGTGAGAATGTTCCACTTCTCTCTCAGAGGCAAAGGCATAGATGACAGCGGTCTGGGGAGCGATCTCTCATCTGATGCTGTAAAGCATAAGTGCTGTTCAGCCCATAGGTTTGTCCCTTATGGCCAGAGTTTCTTACAGAGCCCACCTCTTCCTGGTGCAGGTGAGATGAGGTCCATAAAGTTACATCAGCACAGCCAGAGGATTAAAGCCCTGTCATGTGACTGCAGTACTGCAGAGCGTTCACTTGTAAGATGGAAAAATTCATCGCTGTAGGAGCAGAGATCTGATTTGGCAGAATGCAAATCATCTAGATACTGCATAGCTTTTTTGCTGAAGGTTTGTAGATCTTGGAGGATGTTTGTTTTGAACTTTCAGGTTTACAATCTCACTCCCTAGTTACTCATTTGCAAAGGAGGGCAAGGCTGGCTTGCCTTGAGAGAGCCAAGACAGAGTATGACTACGTATTATTCAGTTCAAATTAGGTTAAGGGCAATTTAAGAATGCCATTACATTTCAGAAGTACTGAAGATGTTGGAATGCCAGTAAAATCACCAAAGTGACTATAATTATTATGATGTAGAGTTAAAAGTAATGATTGGACATAATGAATTAAAATTGTGTCTTAAAATTATTTGAATTATTAACGGTGATCAATAATACCATTGAATGAATTACAATGTTTTTCAAGTTTGTGTGGAATTGTCAATGTCCAAGGGGAATTCACAACCACAGTGTGAGCTTTGCCTGCTGTTACTTGATTAAACTGCAGTAGACAGGGGTGTTTAAGAACATGTGCCCCATCTAGTGGTCAATGTGGGAAGTTCAATGAGTTAAGTTAGAAGCTGCTTGGATAGGGTCCCATGATCTGTTTTGTCAGGAGCCTCACTCCTTCCCTCTTCTCCAGGGGCCCCACTCTCTGCCTGTTTTCCAAAATTGAGTAGCATTTTTCTTTCTAAAAAAACATGAAATATAGCCAAATGATACAATCACAAAATATTGAATATGCCAAAATCTATCCTCACCCATGAAATGTAGAAGAAATGCACTATTTGCCACATGGGAACCAGAAAATATGAGGATAATGCTATTCCTCACAAAGGCTCCAGTTAAATGCAGGTGAAGTGTATGTAGTGCAAAGACAAGCAGATAACAAAATATGTTCAACTATACAGTCCCAGGACTAGGCACCAATTAAAAATAATGAATCTCTGCGTGCCCCGGTAGCTCAGCTGGTAGAGCGCATGCCATGTAAGGCCGAGGCCTTAGCGCAGCAGCCCAGGTTTGAAGCCGGCCCGGGTCCTTTGCTGCATGTCTTCTCCCCTCTCTCTCTCCTGCATTTCCTGTCGACCTCTCTACTGTAACTGTCCAATAAAGTAAAAAAATAAATAAATAATGAATCTCATAAAATGACTTAAGCCATAACCTTTCTCCTGAAAAAAAAAACATATTAAAATTACAATATGAATGGCAAACCAAAAGGAATTACCATACCCTTTCAACAATCCAATTATTAATTAGTTTTGGGGATCTAACCAATTTTTTAAGGCTTTGTTCTATGAATAGAGTGGCTACCGTCAATGTTAAAGTGATAGCAACACAGACAACCAGTTATAAATACAAAGGCTTCATTATTCACAAGATAAAAATGATAAAAATATGCATATGAAAGTGAATCTGAGTGCATGTAGATGACTTAGAACACACATAGAGTGTGAGTGTGAGAGTGTGTGTGTGTGTTCTCTCCACAGGCTGGGTTGGTGTATATTCATATTGTGTGAGTTCTCTCCACAGGCTGGGTTGGTGTATATTCATATTGTGTGAGTTCTCTCCACAGGCTGGGTTGGTGTATATTTACAGTGTCTGTGTGTTGTCTCCACAGGCCGGGTTGGTGCATATTCATCATGTGTGTGTTCTCTCCACAGGCTTGGTTGGGTATATTTATAGTGTGTGTTCTCTCCACAGGCCGGGTTGGTGCATATTTATAGTGTGTGTGTTCTCTCCACAGGCTGGGTTGGGTATATTTATAGTGTGTGTGTTTTCTCCACAGGCTGGGTTGGTGTATATTTATAGTGTGTGTGTTCTCTCCACAGACTGGGTTGGTGTATATATTCAGTGTGTGTGTTCTCTCTACAGGTTGGGTTAGTGTATATTCATATTGTGTGAGTGTTCTCTCCACAGGCTATGTTGGTGTATATTTATAGTGTGTGTGTTCTCTCCACAGGCTGGGTTGGGTATATTTATCGTGTGTGTTCTCTCCACAGGCCGGGTTGGTGCATATTTATAGTGTGTGTGTTCTCTCCACAGGCTGGGTTGGGTATATTTATAGTGTGTGTGTTCTCTCCACATACTGGGTTGGTATATATTTACAGTGTGTGTGTTCTCTCTACAGGTTGGGTTAGTGTATATTCATATAGTGTGTGTGTTCTCTCCACAGGCTGGGTTGGGTATATTTATAGTGTGTGTGTTCTCTCCACAGGCTGGGTTGGTGCATATTTATAGTGTGTGTGTTTTCTCCACAGGCTCGGTTTGTGTATATTTATAGTGTGTGTGTTCTCTCCACATACTGGGTTGGTATATATTTACAGTGTGTGTGTTCTCTCTACAGTTTGGGTTAGTGTATATTCATATTGTGTGTGTGTGTTCTCTCCATAGGCTGGGTTGGTGTATATTCATAGTGTGTTTTCTCCACAGGCTGGGATGGTGTATATTTATAGTGTGTGTGTGTAGTCTCCACAGGCTGGGTTGGTGTATATTTATAGTGTGTGTGTTCTCTCCACAGGCTGGGTTGGTGTATATTTATAGTGTGTGCGTGTTCTCTCCACAGGCTGGGTTGGTGTATATTCATAGTGTGTGTGTGTGTTCTTTCCACAGGCTGGGATTTTGTATATTTATAGTGTGTGTGTGTTCTCTCCACAGGCTAGGATGGTGTATATTTATCGTGTGTGTGTTCTCTCCACAGGCTGGGTTGGTGTATATTTATAGTGTGTGCGTGTTCTCTCCACAGGCTGGGTTGGTGTATATTCATAGTGTGTGTGTGTGTTCTTTCCACAGGCTGGGATTTTGTATATTTATAGTGTGTGCGTGTTCTCTCCACAGGCTGGGTTGGTGTATATTCATAGTGTGTGTGTGTGTTCTTTCCACAGGCTGGGATTTTGTATATTTATAGTGTGTGTGTGTTCTCTCCACAGGCTAGGATGGTGTTATTTATCTGTGTGTTTCTCTCCACAGGCTGGGTTGGTGTATATTTATAGTGTGTGCGTGTTCTCTCCACAGGCTGGGTTGGTGTATATTCATGTGTGTGTGTGTGTTCTTTTTTTTTTTTCACAGGCTGGGATTTTGTATATTTATAGTGTGTGCGTGTTCTCTCCACAGGCTGGGTTGGTGTATATTCATAGTGTGTGTGTGTGTTCTTTCCACAGGCTGGGATTTTGTATATTTATAGTGTGTGTGTGTTCTCTCCACAGGCTAGGATGGTGTATATTTATCGTGTGTGTGTTCTCTCCACAGGCTGGGTTGGTGTATATTTATAGTGTGTGCGTGTTCTCTCCACAGGCTGGGTTGGTGTATATTCATAGTGTGTGTGTGTGTTCTTTCCACAGGCTGGGATTTTGTATATTTATAGTGTGTGTGTGTTCTCTCCACAGGCTGGGTTGGTGTATATTTATAGTGTGTGTGTGTTCTCTCCACAGGCTGGGTTGGTTTATATTTATAGTGTGTGTTCTCTCCACAGGCTGGGTTGGTGTAATCTCACAGAGGGTTGCTGTGATGATCTGGCCTCAGTCCTGTGTTCTCCCCACTCAGAGCTGAGAGATCTGGAGCTCAGAGACAATGAGCTGCAAGATTCAGGAGTGAGAGTGCTCTCTGATGGACTGGAGTACCCACACTGTAAACTGCAGAGACTGGGGTGAGTAACAAACACAAATCCCCTCTTTCATGAACGGCTCAAATGTGAATAAGTATCCCAATGATATTAATTATGACTCAGGCTGAAGCTTTCTGTTCACTTTGCACTGTCAACCCATGATTCTAAAATGTGTAATTTACCAAAAGCAATTTCAGTGTTCATGAGGGAATAAAATACTAGATTGTTCATTTTGGAAATGATTCATTTAGTATGACAATATTAATTAATACCTTCGATTATAGTAAACAAAGAAGTAAATGAGTCAGTCCCACTCATTAAAATAATGATAAGGTGTATAATACTAATTCAACAGCCCTGTTATTTTATATTGAGATACTGCAAGGTGCATCTTGGATAAAAATTACAATACGGAAAGCTGGCGCTGAATTTTTTACATATCCCGTTAGTATGGGCAATAAAATCAATGGCAGTTCAGTTCTGAAGAGTTGTGTTTTTTCCCCTCTTAATTATAAAAAGTATTGATGATGGGATCAATCGTGTCTCAGATTGTTCAACAGCATCAATAAGGTATCAATAAGATCTTAATGATACCCATCCGTAGTGAGAGGTAACTGTCGTGAAACACAGTTTGTGTTCCCTGTGTGGAGGGGGATAAATCATACGGTTGTCAGAAGATTCATGCTGAGATCTTCTGGTCCCCTCTTTGGAAGGGTGCACAGGGAAACTGGCTTCATTCTCCTGCTGGGAGGAAAAATTGGAGATTAAATACGCTCTCTGGTGAGAATGTTCCACTTCTCTCTCAGAGGCAAAGGGTGAGATGAAAGCGTTCTGGGGAGTGATCTCTCATCTGATGCTGTAAAGCATAAGTGCTGTTCAGCCCATAGGTTTGTCCCCTATGACCAGAGTGTGGAATTGTCAATATGTTACCAAGGGGAATTCACAACCACAGTGTGAGCTTTGCCTGCTGTTACTTGGTTAAACTGCAGTAGTCAGTGGTGATTAAGAACATGTGCCCCATGTAGTGGTCAATGTGGGAAGTCCAATGAGTTAGAAGCTGCTTGGATTTTCTTTTGCTTGTTTTCCAAAATTGAGTAGCATTTTTCTTTCTCACAAAAACTTTAAATATAGCCAAATGATATTATCACAAAACATTGAATATGCCAAAATGTATCCTCACACATGAGGGCACCACAAAATGTGGAGGAAATGTACTATTCACCACAGGGGAACCAGAAAATATGAGGATAATGCTATTCCTCACAAAGGCTCCAGTTAAATGCAGGTGAAGTGTATGTAGTGCAAGGACAAACAGACAACACAATATGTTCAACTTAACAGTCCCAGCAGTAATCAGTCTCATGAAATTACTTAAGCCATAACCTTTAATAATATAATGTCTTATAATAATAATATTAATGGCAAACCAATAGGAACCAAACGCTTTTAACAATGCAATTATTGATAATTAGTATTGGGGATCTAACCAATTTTTGAAGGCTTTGTTCTATGAATAGAGTGGCTACAGTCAATGTTCAAGTGATAACAACACAGACAACCAGTGATAAATACAAAGGCTTTATTATTCACAATAATAAAAAGATAAAAATGTGTACAAAATGTAATCTGAGTGTGTGTAGATGAGTTAGTCAGAACACACATTCTGTGTGTGTCTGTGTGTGGTTTCTCCACAGGCTGGGTTGATGTACATTTGTGTGAGTGTGTGTGTATGTGTATGTGTGGGGCACCCTCGGTCATGCACGATTTTGGGGAAACTGAAAAACAAGCTCCAGAGGCAGAAAATGAGGTGAAAGAACACAACGTTTATTGATAACGTGCTGAGGGATGGGGAAGTGGGGCCAAACAAAACTAGGGTCCTTCCTGTTCTGGGCTCTCACTGGGACAACAGCGCCTCCACCTGGCAGAGAGAGAGAGGAGACAGGAGTGAGACAAGGTGGGGGTTAGAGGAGGTTGAGTGTTGAGAGCCCCGGGGTGGTGTCTCCTGTTCCAGTCCCATGCCCATCTTTAGGTTCCAGTCCACTCTGGAAAGATCCACGGTTTAGCGCTGGTTTCCTTCAGTTCAAGGCAAACAATTACGTCTCTTTGTGATCTTGTGGTGGCACACAGCCCCTTACCACCAGACTGGGTAGGAGCGCTCGCTTCCTTCCTCTTCTTAGGCCTGAGGCAATCTGCTGGTGGTTCTTATGTCCTGCCTTAAGAGGGCTGCTGGCTGACAACTGATGCCGTTCACCTGGGGCTTCTGCCTGATGGGGAAAATGCAACTCACCTGTGTGGGGAGGGTGCTCTCCAAGGTACTAAGCAGGTCCATGGAGTACTACTGGCCCTCCAGCACCTTCCCTAAGGCTCTGTGTCCAGGGGATGGCTGCTCTCCATGGTGCTGCTTTGTGGAGCACTGGTATTGTATCGGGGCGCCTCTG